GGAGTACTTTCAGTAGTGTGTGCTGGTCATCATTAGCAGCTCTTCTGTCCTAGGCAAGGACACTGGTTTGCAACATCATTTTGTTTGATTAAATTCCCTTAAGTGGTGTTTGCAGCACTTGTGTGTGTGTTGTGTCACCTCGGTCACCGTAAACAATGGCCCCCAAAGATCACAGGACTCCTTCAAGCCAGAGATCTGCACAGGCTTTAACAGAAACCATTATTAAAGTTTCTGAAAGGATGAGCTCCTTTCTGAATACACTCAAATGTATTATTCTGCCTTGGTAGGTTCTCTGCAAGTGCCCGAGTGTTGCATATAATATTCCACCACAATTGCTACCTTTGTGTGGTGGCAGTAACAAAGAAGTGGAGTGACAGGATGAAACACAGTGGGATCCAAGGTTGTGATATATTTTCTTTCTGATTTTACACAATATGTCAGGCAGGAGGCTTAGTTTAAAATTTTAACTTCTTTTTTTTTTTCCCCCTCAAGATTTCCAATCCATCCTAAAATGTCCAAGTTGCAAAACGTGCTGGAGCCGTAATGCTGCTGGCTTGAGGGGAGGGGAGAAAAAAGTGGGGAAAAAAATACATGTATTGATACACACCCCCACACGAGCAAAGCATCGTATGCACAGGGCATGTACCGAGATTTCCAGCTGTCAGGGCAGTGTTAATCGCCTGATTTGGGCACAAAAGGCACAGCAAAGGGAAGCACTGGTGCTTTACAGAGGTCCCGGAGATTAGTGCTGAGCTCTGCCGGTAATACCTGTGTTTATCCTCACAAACTTCTGAGGAAGAGTTTTCTTGGAGGTTTAAGAAAATTGCACCCAAGAATATGCTCCTTTGATATTTTGCAGAGTAATGTATTCTGCCAGACAGGGGACTTTTTACTTATCTTTCTGCACATCAAAGTGTGTTTTCCCCTTGAAATGTGGGAAGTTGACAACTGTACAACAGCAGCAGGGATCTGGGTTCACAGAGTAAGCAGTGTTTCATTATGCTGCTTTATTTGGATGGGCAACTGTGAGAAATAGCTTATGATGTATAAAATATCTGAGTCTCTTTTTGTACTTGAAGACATTGTTATCTCTATTTGAAGTTGGCTAGTGAAGGTCAGTCAGGCTAACTGCTTGCAAAAGAATATCCTGTCTCTGTTGGCAGATACTCTTTTCAAAGTTCATTGCATCCAGCAGGCTATTTTTGTAAATACCACCCATCATGGCAAATTACAGGCCGGTGGGGGGGGGGAGAGGGGGTGGTGGATGAAGTCCTTTCATTGTGCAGAAATCGATTGTCGTTGCCCAGAGCATTGCATGGCAGTGGCAGGGATGAAAAGTGTGAGCTGTTAATTTGTTTGAGATTTGGTGTTGATCAGGAATGTCAGATTGCACTGCGGAAGTGATACATTCTGTGATAACTGTAATACTGAAACTTTCACTCACTGATAACCATGGCACTGATAGATTGTGGTATTTTCATGACATTTCCTTTGCTTTACTTTGAAGTCTGGCTGGTTAAGTCAGGAAGTCTTTCTCTATTAGCAACACTGAAGCTATAGTGTTGTTTCTTCCTCTCTGCTTTTTTTTGCATTTGTTGTTAATGAGAATGGAAAGCTGGCTGTGTAGGACAGTGCTAATAGTGGCGACTGGTCACATATTTCTTTAGTCTATCACATTTGGGAATGAAGCCCATTAAAAAATGGGATTTTATATGAAGTAACGTTTTGAAATCAGTAGGTTCTTTATGCTCTACTCATTAAAAATAAATCTTTGTCTTTCAGTGGTGTATGGGGTTTAGATTTCATTAAATAGTGTCTGCTCAAATCTACTTAAACTGGTGGTCCAGTCCCAGAAACATTTACAAATGAGAGCAATCCCAGTTGGGAAGAAAATTACTTGATGTAGGTTGGTTTCGAAAGAACTGATGAGTTGTCTGCATAAAACTTTTTGGATGCAGCTCATAGGAAAGGCATTCAAACACATACACGAGTGGGATGCAGCCCTGGCACAGAGAGAGCCAGAGATCTTGTAACTCCCCTTTTTTTACATTAAGTGGTTTTCAGACTGATTTTTTTTTCCATGACACACTCATTTCTAGGATATTATTATCTACCTTGAATGTTCTGAATAGTAGAGTCATTGGCTTCCTGCATTAAAACTAAAACTGATGGCAGTGTTGCATACTCAATATTTATATTTAAAGCACTCGTTATAATGTATCTAATTTAGGTAACTGTTTGGATATGCTGTTACATTTTTTGCTCAGTTTTTCTAGTCACTAAGAGTTACCTGTGTGAAAGGGAAGGCTTCTTAAAAAATTCATAACTCGCTTTAACATCAGTGAAGGTTCCTGATTAATTTAAACCTAATCCTGTTGAACCCACTGGCAGCATTTATCCTTGTTCCACCAGATTGCAGTTAGTTACTTTAAAACCACAGCTCAAAGCAAAATGCTTTGCTTTCGATGCAACCACCAGTGGAATGATGAAGAAGATGCAAAAATACCTACTTGTAAGCTGCTGTTTTAAAAGGTTATCTAAAAATATCTGCATAAAACAGCTAAAAGGTCTTGCGAGATAGTAATCGGTAATTATTGTGGAAACATCTGATTGGAAAAACCCACGACACGTCTCACATCAAAAAAAAAAAAAAAATTAGGTAGAAAAATATAAGCACTGATATTTCCATGAGTGTTTCATGTAGCAGGGGAAGGAGGCCCTCAGTCAGCGAATACAGCTAAGTCTGTTTTGTGCTGTGGCAAATCCCATTGTGAAGAGGCTGTGAGTAATCAGAAGTGACAGCATAAGCACTTTCTGTTCAAAGTGATTTTACAGAGAGCATTATTTTCTGAGAAAAGCACACATATGGCTCCCATAATGCTGAAAGAGCACTGCTGTATCCATTTATTAGCACGAGCGTTGGGAGAGGAAGTTTTGCAAATGGTGCTCGGATTTAAGACCTTTTTCTCTGCGTTTCCATTCCCTAAAACCTCCTTAAAATCGTAGGAATTGGCCAGATAGGTAAGGGTGGGGTGAGTGTGTCTGCCCAGGGGATGTCAGGGCAGTTTGTGAGGGGGAAGCTGCTGTCAGGAGCTGGACGTGCTGCTCAGTGGTGACTTGAGCAGTCAAACAGCAGCACAAATGCTCTTCCTTGGAGGAAAGGGTGCACAGGTATTGTTGGTGCATTTTGATGGAGGTGCTTCAGATCCCTCTGACCCTCTCCTTGCCCTGGGCTTTTGTTCCTGTCACAGTGTCAGCTCTGAGTGACACCCCCTGTCCTGTCCTGTCCCCTGCTCTGAGTAAGGATTGCACTGCAATGAAAAGCCAAGAAACCTTGCTCTTACAAATTACCAGTTTAAAGGATGAATTTGCCCCCCTTAGTAGCTACTTATCTAACTGAAAGGTTTTATTTTTGTTATGCTTATTTTTCTTTTGTTCTCAGTGCTTACCTTGGCTCTGCACTTTGTGGCTATAATTTTAATTCTGTGCATGAGGAATGTGCATGTTTGGCCAGGACCTTTCTATTTAAATTAATCCATATACATAATCAAGTTCTAGTATGCTGATTTTTGTAAATTGCTTACCAGTGTCTCACATTTACAAAATTGCCCAGAGGAACTATCAGAACTTCTCTTTCCAAAGCCTGGAGCCTCTCAGCTTTTTAGGGAAAAGAAAGCTTCCAGTGCTCACACTTGTAGAGCGTGGTAGTTCCAAACCAAAAGGCCAGTAGCTACACAAATGCAATTTTAAAAAAAATCCTCATGACAATTATGTCAAACTTGATGGCTGCCTGTTTGGGGTTGGCTTTAGGGATTTCTAGATCTATCAAAAACGTTATTAGTTTGAAAACTGTTGGCTTTGGAAGTTGGCTCTAAATTTGCAAATAAGGCACCTATGTTTTTATTGATTGTTAAAACTCACTGCCTCCCCGAGATGTTCCACAACCAAGAAGCCTGAAATAAAAGCCTTTTTTTTTTCCATACTAATTTGTTTTGGAAGAGGTGGTAGAAGGAATTGGAGGGTAGCAGAGGGGATTCAGGTCTCTCTGTCTTTCATGAGCAGTAAGCCAAACAATTCCAATTCTAAAATTTCATTACAGGCCTTAATCACAAATGAAATGTTTCAAATACTTGTACTGCTTCCAGTAACCTCTTCTCATAAAATTCCCCCCAAGGAGAGTGAAGCTTAAATACTGAGGGGTCTGAGTACGTCACCAGTTATCTACTAAAGTGGAGACAATATTGTTTGTATTCAAGCATGAATTCCAATGACATTTAACAGAGTTAATTTTATCTCTGTTTGGTATTATGAATTTTGCCTCATTCTGTTCACTCTGTTGCTTTCTTTAAAATGCCTCTCCAGTTTCACTGGCACTGGCCCATCGCTGGTGGTTGCCGCCACATGCCTGTCTAGCATAAAAACATCTTTATTACTGCAGAAATTATGTATTTAACAGCTCGGAGACACTTGCATCTGGCTTGGAATTATGGCAGTAATACGTTGAGAGAGCTGTTCATTTGGTTTTAATGAGCATAAGCTACAGCTTGCCATCAAGGAACTACTCCAACTTAATAACAGGAATTGCTGCGCCGCTCGGATCCGTTCTGTCTGGGTGGTTTAATGTGCACCACCTAATATGAGTGTGGGAAAATCCTTAACCGTGGAAAATAAAAGGGGGCTTCCATACAGTGCTGCTGATATCTTCTTGGTGCATCAGCCTCAGTTGTAAAGCAGCAGCACAGACAGTATAGATGGGTATCTATTGAAGCAATACGTGTTGAAACCTTTATAGGTGAGGTATGAGGAGAAAATATACCATTAAAGTCTGCACTCAGAGAGGGGAGATCCTTCCACCTTCAATGCACAAATCATGGCAATTTTCATTCCTCTTTTAGAGTGGCTGCTGTGTGTCTGATAAAATAGATTAATGGTGAAATACATGTCAAAAGAATTTATCCAGTGGTGGCTTTGCTAACGTTGGTGTTGTTTCTTCCCTACAGGTATTTCTGTAACAAAGAAGACTCATACATGTAAGTAATATCTTTTGATTTGGCCTTCTCTTAGGAATGGAGTTTGTTAGGCTGTGCTGTGGTGCTCAGACTAGTAGGTGTTGGGCTGGTCTGAGAAGGCTCAATTTTAAAAATGCTGGTGGGTTTTCTGCTTTAGAGTGGTTTCAGTCCTCAGCCAAAATGTTGTCGGAGATAAAATGTGTGTGTGTGTTACTGGCACGTGTGTGAAGTCAGAGGGCAGGAAAAGAAAGTTGTGAGGAAAGGTAGAATTCCTGGCTCTGGTCTATATACCTTACAGCTGATAATTAACACATCCAGAAAATACAGATGAGAATGGTTATGTTTTTATGTCTGATATATATGCAGTATGATTCAAGCTAAAATATATTATTGAACTGAAAGCCTTCTGTCCCTTCCTATGCATGAGTCTGTAAGATAAATCATTCAGTGCTTGTGCTGAAGGAACTGGATGGAAACGAGGAGGTTATTGTTTTGCTCTCAACCTTATAAACAAACAGTCCTCAGAAGTGGCAGCCTTGGAAATGTCTGTGGATGTGGGCATTTACTTACATATACATTTATTCCAAATCTTCTTCAAAGACATCATTACTGGAGATCAACTCTCATCTCCCCTGCAGTGAGTTAAAAAGCACAATTCCAAGAAAATGTTACGATTTGTAGCCGGACATACGTGGAGATGCTTTGGATGCTGTGGAGGTTTGGAAATCTGGTAGTGCAAGAACTGTACTTGCCCAGGATCTGAAACAGGAGTAGGCAAAACTGAGGCTATTAATTCGTGGAAGCCCCCTAACAAAACAGGTGGTAGGCTGCACAAAATTTACAAATATGTATGCATTTTAACAGGATCATGCATTTGAAGTATGTTCATTGCAGCTTCCAGGGTTAAAGGGGTGGTGCAAAGTATCTTACATGGTTTTTATTCTTATTTCATTCCTGGTTTTATAATATTCCTGTAATGAAAAATCTGACTTGAGACTATGAATTCAAAATTGATTTAAGAACTTCAGATGAGAAATTTGATTTGTATGAGTATTGAAGCAAACTCTAAATGCCTCAGACTTTTAGATCATGATGGTCCTGGTCTGCTTAGGTGGGTTTGCTGCTTAAAGTGTTCTTAGGGTCAGATCCTCTTTGGCTGAAGGCATATGAGGTTTCCATTGCACTTAGTGGAGCTACAGGCAGGAGTCTGGGCGTGGAGTTTGACCCTTCCTTGTGTTTTTGGTGAATATTTGAGCTGCTGGGACTGGGGACTGAAGTGCTCTGTTACCCACAGGCCAGGCACTGCACACACAGCTCCCTTGCACAGCCTTGCCTTGAGCTCAGCCCTGGCCTGGAGCACCCTCTCTAGAGCTGGGGAGCAGTTTGGGGACTGTGCCAGCCCAGTCCTGGCCCCTCCTGTTGGAGGCTGATGCTGTACCTGGTGGTTTGTACCATTCCCCCGGGAAATCACCTGCAGACACCCTGTGCTGTGCACAGCAGTGCCAGGGCTGCTGGAGGACCTGCTGCAGGAGCCCCAGCTCCAGTTCCAGCACTGAGCCTTTCCTGGGAAGGTCAAATAGCAAGCACAGCCCTAAGGAGCATAGGAAATGCATGTGAAGGCAGGCCAGGCTGCTGGGCTGTGGTGGTGGGGTGTCTGTGTCTCAGCTGAAGTCGTTTCAGGCCTCTGATGAAGAAAAGATGTATTCATTGACTCCTCACCACACACCTCCAGAGCAGGCAGAAATTAGGGACCAGTGTCTTTGGTGTTGAGAACTCTGTGCTTTTCTAAGAGAGCTGTCAGGGAGTAATTCCCTGATTTGTTAATCAGTTGTCATGCGATTGCTGAAGCATGAACAGAAAAGTTGCCTGAATAATGGGAAGATAAGCTTGCCCATTAAGAAGGGATTAAAATAGAAGGAGCAATATGCTGTTATTGGCATGATGAAAATGCAAGCTATGTTTGCAGGCAAATATGTATGAGGCTTCATTCAGTTTTGGTTGAGGTTCTTTTAGAATTCATTCCTGTTTTGACAAATTCTCATAGAGCAGGAATTAATGTAAATTGTGCATCTTTGGCACTTCAGCATCATGCACAATAAACGTGTTTTTCCATTGTTGCATAGATTTTTTTCATTATTATTGAATAGAAGAAGTAGGAAAAAAATTCAGAGTTTTGGAATGATTCAGGAAAGCAAAATTATATAAGTACCTAAATGCAAAAATTACAATTAAAATCTCAGTTGTTAACAACTACAAATGACTGGGAAAGAGAGTCTATGTATCAAGACAATCTAGAGTTTGCCTATCACCTTGTACCTGTGTATTTAACTTAGCCAAATTGTTACATAGAGTAGGATTTGTGCAAAAAAAATTCAAAAAGCATTCTTGCAAACTCTTTGTGTATTGTATATACATTGCCTGCACTGATGTTTAGAAATATGGATGGAGTTGTCTTATTCCAAATTTATATGTGGCATATGAGGGTGTTGACTGACTGTAAACTGCCACTTATTTCTAATGACCTTTTGATTTAATTAGGGAGGAAGAAATGGAGTGGAGAAAATGAGTGGAGAAGTGAAAAAAAAATCAGTGGAGAAAAAATACTTTTTAATATAAATGCCAGAAAGTTTGATACATGATAAGTTTCAAACATTAATCCCTTTCAGACTTCAACTAACAGCTATTTTAATTTTACAGGTTTTGAAATTGGTGGTGACCTGTCTCCACAACTTAGTTGTTCCTGGGTTTATTGTTTGAGTTTTGGGATATGTTTTAGCCCCTTCTCAGCATTAGTCTGTGACAAGTGTCCTGAAGTGGAACTCCTGTGCTGCTCACAGGTGCTCAGGCCCTTTATGAATCCAACAGCAGTTCAGTATCTGCACACATATAGTGCTGAAGAAATGCAGCTCTTCCATAATGCAGCTATCTCAATAAAATCTGAGAGGTTTTCATCCTTCTTGCTACAACTAATTCTGTTTCATTGGCTGCTTCTCCACATTCTGTCTTTGTCAGAGTCTAAACATCACAAAACCTGCCACTTTTAAACAAGGAGCCTGATACTCTGCCAGACAGCTCTGAGGGGATAAATGTTATCCACCCCAAAATGCAGTTCTTTTCTTAGTTAAAGTTTAGGATTAAACAGGCTTTTGAAGTTAAAATTCATGCCTTCTGTCTGTTTGTAGCACTATTCTCTTGGGCTCACATGGCTATTTGTTAGGGTAACCTTCACTTTAGATAAGATGTGCTCTTAACTGTCAGATGGTAGAGGACAAGTCCTGTCTCAGCTTCCATTCAAAGTGGGACTTCTGGTCTTTCAGTTCTTTTTTGACTCAAGAAAGATATGCCTGACTTTTAGATTCTTCTCTGATCATTTAATTTACACTAATATTTGTAATAGAACCCTCTTCCTCCCATGTTTCATGCCCTGAATAGAAAAGTGCTCCAAGTGAATGGTGACTTTGATGCACAACTTCAGCCTTTTGCAAGTTCAGAGAGGCATCATGGTGTCAGTGATGACAAGGATCTGAAATTCTGTGAAACAAAAGGCTGCAAAGGACCTGCATTTAGTGTTTACTGCCTTGGGGTTAGGCTCAGTCCTGAGATGTGCAGTGTTTAGTTTCTGACATCTTAAATCTTGCCATACTTCATACAATTAGTTTCATGGCCTCCACCAGACCGCTCGTGACTCACAACTATCAAGTCATTCACCTTATTTTTCTTCAGATCATTTTTATATCCTGGGCACTGACTTTCTAAATTGAGTTTGACTTGGCTGCCTGTCAAAGTAAGGTCTGGTTTCCTGCAGATGTATCCAGAGGGTGAATGTTGTAATGACTCCACGATGTCATGGAACCTCCTTTCTCTCTGTTTGAATTGTGAAGAGCACAGTTAGGAGCTTCAGAGGAGTTTGATTGCATAGCTGGAGCTCATATCTGCATGGAGGTCCAGGGACATTAACTTGCTTACCTGGCATTTGTAAGGTAGGACAAAATGCACAGATTTTGCAAGCCTTCCATTCACACCAAGGAGCTCCTGCCATCCTTTGGAATGTTGTTCCACAGCAGAAAAGACTCAGGAGCCCCAGTTCCTGGTGACACCCACCTGTCAGTGCAGAGATGGGGACCTGAGGGGCTGCTCTCACCTGCACCACAACAACCAGGTGCTGTTCAAACTCAGGGCTGCTCCTTGGGTTTAACTTTCCAGTGATAGTGTGGACAGTGACCCTGAGCTGAGTCCCAAAGTGACAACTGTTCCATGCACTGACCCTGAATTATCACCACTGCAGAGAAAGGGCATGTTTCTTTGGGCAGTCGTGATGCTGGATAGCTGAGAACTTCAGTTTCTACACCTGCACCAGCTCACCCCTCAGGGAAATTTAAGATTAAGACCTACCAACCCAGTCTGTTCTCTCGTGCCTTTATTGTAAGGATTCCCATTGTTGGCAATGGAACTTTTTAGTTGTGATACTTTGCCACTGTTCTTTCCTAAATCTCTGGCTCAAGAGAGTCAGACATTAAAGACTACAGCAAAATGGTGTCCCAAGTGTGCACCCCATCCTCAGACCATGGCAGTCTGCTCAGTTGAGCTGTTGGAAGTTCAGCTTCCTCTCAAACATATATTTATAGAATAGTCTGCATTGCTTCCCGAGGTAGAACAAGGCCAGCTCAGCTCTAGGTTTTCAGTTCCTGGACAGGTTTGTGTGCACTGTCCTGTTCCAGCATGTTACCCCTCCTTGGTACCTGCTCTCTGAACTGCCACAGACTTTGACACTTAATTCTTTATTCTGTGTCCCTGTCTTGTAACCCAGGACAGTGGCACAAAAGTGTTGTTGATTGTGCTTTGTAGGTTGTATTGTGGTAGTACAACAGCAAGAGGATCACCATTAGTGACCTGTGGGCTAATTTTGTTCATCTTTTATTATCTCTGTTTGCTTGTAATGCAAATAGATGTACTTGGGTATAATGTTCAGCACAGTACATTTTATATATTCAGAACCCAAGGTATATCCAGATTTAACAGAA